TTATTGGCTTGTAATGTAGGCTTAGGGACGGGTAGGATATATATTTGGGATAAGAGTGACTTAATTCCTTCTTGAGCGTCACAGTGAATTTGTGCTCTTGATCATTGATACACCTTTAGCGTCCGATCCTCTCTATTGTCCCCATTTTTTTTTCAACTTCTTTTGTATTCTTATTTGTTGGAGCTTTTCTTCTTTCACCCCTTTGTTTTGAAGTTTTCTCCTTTTTTAATAGAGTTTTTTCCTTCTCGTCTTTCATTGACCTTGTAGGAGTGTTTTTTTCTTTCTTTATTTCTTTCCACCTTCTTTTTTTTTTTCTTTTTTCTAGAAGTCGTTCTTTCTTTTTTTTCAACTTTGGGAGACTTTGTATCTTTTGCTTTTGGTAACTTCAAACATGGATCTTCTCTTATAATTTGCACATTCTTGGTGCACTCAAGAAGGTTGGGCCAAGAGAGGAATAGTACATGTAAACACTAAAAAGGGTAGTGGCTAAGATGTGGTTGTCCAAAGAAGGCCTTCAGGCTCAAAGTGGGGAAAACTAGGGATTAATGTCATTTGGTAGGTTTTGAAAGGCACAATCGGATCAAATAAGGCCTACAATCTTTTCCCATACCAAACATTACTCAGGATTTCGCCTCGAAAAACATTCAGGCCAAGTTCTAGATCAACAGTGCGATGCAATTGAATTTAAATCTAAAAGTTCACCACACAATGCACATGAAATCATGAGGTCGGTTTTATTCTTATCTTGAATCCATGTAAGAGAATTTTCAAATATCACAAAAGTATAAATGTGAGGTACCAAAAGAATCTATGGTTTACCACAAAGCTAGCCTTCTTCATCATATCAAATATTTTTACATGCTCCTAACTGCATTGGTCTCATTTGAGCTGAAGACATGACTCTTTCAATATGTACAAAACGATTCATTTTTTTTTAAAGAATGAATAAATACCAAACCCAAGAAGGGTTGCCTACGTATCTCATCAAAATGAGAATCAGGTGTGCGT